CAAGAAAACTCGATCAGATCTAACAGAGATTACCGACTGCAATCGGTAATCGGACGAAATACCGAATGCCAATTCTCGGCAGCTTTCTGAATAATCCCCGTCATGTTCAAAAACACCAGATACCCAAATCTTCTCGAATCACTAATGTTTCAAAGCCTTTTAAAATCGTTTAGTACATTTTTATGTGCCAGAAATATTGCTTAGTGCATCCGGGTCATGGAAAAAATAAATAGCGATGCACAACAAGGTAGCCGGTACGATCATGAGTTTTGAGCAGTTCCGTCCAGCGGACGTTTGCTTACTAAAAATATAACTGCTTTACACTTTCGTATATGGAGAAAAAACAGATATGCTGTCTGGCTCCTAAGTTGAGGAATTTCTCGCTGAAAATTTCATGTGCCGGTACGTGAAAGCTGAATTTGAAAAAATGGATGGGGAACATCGTTCCAAATTTCAACCTTGTATTTTTTCAGCTTCCGAGCTAGCGACTTCAACATCACGATTCTCAAGTGGTCTTACGTAAGACCTCCGCATGCTTGGAACCTATATTTGAGTTTGTGAGATACCTGCAATGGCAGAAAACATCGCCCTCAAATTTCAACTTCCTAGCTTTCATGGTTCCTGAGATAATTTACCGCCAAAAATTTCATGAGTCCTACACGGTCACGGGACATACCCATAAAATTTCAGCTTTCCAGCTTCTGTGTTTTCCGAGATACTGATTTTACTCGAAAAACTTTTACAGGGCCGTGAGTTTTATCCATGGGTACGGGAAGGTTGAATTTAAATTTGCCGCGTCACCCACTGGCGGGGAACATTATAATAAAATTTCAACCGCCAAGTTTTTGTGGTTCCCGAGTTGAAAGTGCGGGACAAAATGTGACACACACACACACACACACACAGACAACCCCATGATAATATGCGTTTTGTACTGCTGTTACACAGCACAAAACGCATGGCATAATTAGAAAACTACACCCTATTCCCACCTTCCGATGTGTTGGGTAAAAATCAACCAGATTCACTCCCGTCCGCTAATATTCCAAATCGTAATAAATAAAAACACACATTTTCATAGAAATGTCTTCTCCCTCTTTTCCTTTACCTAAGAAAATTCGGCACTAACTGGACAGTTTAGGCGCTCAACATCAACAAACATCTGGATACGTGCGCCCTCGTCTCTGTGCAGTGAAATAACAAAACTGACACAACACACATATAGACAAAAATGAATGCGATGCAAAAACTGGATCGAATGAAATCTGGGGAAATTAGAAAGCACTTATGAAATACAAACAAAATTTGTACAGAAACAAAGCATAAGAGTCGATCCAGCATACAGCGAAGGACGTTTGAGACCCGGGAATTTTTTATATAAATTTCCAACATTTTTTGCCAACTTCTTCTTTGATTTGAAATTTTAAAAAACGACCACCCTCAGTCTTCGCGGCGAATTTTTCAATTTTTTTGTAAAAATCGACGTTAACTTTTTTGTTTCGCTTCCAATTCAATTTTTGACAAAAGCACCACATCGAATAATAGAAGGGAATGGAAAAACGAGGTAAAAGAGGCAAAAACGATAAAGTTCGTTTTGTTTGAAAAAAAAAAAATCATCGCTAAACAAAATCGTTCTTTGTTTTACTCATTAAAAAATGACAGTTCTTTTTCGTACAATAAATTAAAAACTCAAAATTCTAAATACTAAAAAAATCAAAAACTCAAAATTCTAATATTTTGCAAAAGTTCAAAAACAGGAGCTAAGAGTTTTGAGAAATTTCGCAAATATGGAAAATGTATAAATCTGAAAAGTCAGAAGCAGCTTCCAAAATCATGAAAAAAAACGTAAAACCGAAGGCTAAAAAAGGCAGATAAAACAATTCGTCTGGAAATTTTTTAATGTCTGTGTTTCTAGAAACTCAAAAACTCAAGACCGCTTTAACGCTTTAATCAGTTAGTTCAAAAAAAAGAGTTATCCAAAAAGGCCCTAACCACAAAATGCGGCGCACAAAAAATCAATTTCTCATTCGGAATAACTGCTATATTTGATCTTATTAAGTCATCGGTCAAAAAAAAAAAACAAATTCACTGCTCTAAAAATCGATGTTACGCGGTCGTTGATGACAAGATAGCTTTTTTTTTTAAAAATCATTATTTAGCCGGTCATTTTGATTTCGATGCAAGTTTTTCTTTCATCCACGCGGCAATTTTTGACCGTAATGTTTCATCTGAAACACAAATTTAAGTGATTATATTCATATCCGTCGGTGAGCATAGCGTAGTGGGAAGCAATATTTTGGCAATTTTAGGCCCCAGTTAGAGCAGGAAAGAAGATCCGCGGCCCTCCATGCAATCACGTAAACAATTCAGGAGTAGCTGATGAGGGAAAATTCATCGAATTTGTTCAGTTCTAGTGAATTCATAAACAGAAATACCCGCAATAAGTTGGTTTTCATTGAGCGGCTGTCTGGTGAAAGGATCCGTTTGGGAGCTGAGTAAATGGCGCATGATATGCTTGCGATCCATTTTATGTCCAGATGGCAGTATAACTGGATCGGTCATCAGTGTATTCATTACAGGATCTGCAAACATGAATGTTCAATAAAACCAAAGACTTTCATACATGCATCAGTTTCAATTAAAAATAAAAATTATGCATAATAGCGTCACCAAAGGAATCCAGAATCTGTCCTCTGCACGTTAATCAGCAATTTTTTTTCTTTTTTTTTAAAATAAATTTGTTTCCCTTATTTCTTTTTTTATTACTTCTGAATTTTTTCTTCTATCTTCTCTAATTTCTTCTCTTTACTCTAATTTTACGTAAATGTAATCAGAATCATGCTTACTAAGTACATGGTGGGTAGTGGGGCTGTACTAATGATTTCCATTGCTGACGCTTTGCTCTATATGTGTTTACAGCTATGGGATGAAACACAGACTACTTTCAGAAGTGTTCATCGGTACCTATGGTATTTAGCTCCATTATCACTGATCTTAATTTTACAGCAAATAATTTAAGGCTAAGTGAAAATTTTGTGAAAATATTGTTAGAAAATGTAGAAATGGATGATAGGAAAGGTCAAAAACCTCGGAAATCGTCAGGGAAGTCGTCGCCAAAATCTTCTTCCTTTTGAGCTTTCTGCTTCCATATTCGTTCGGTCATATCAGCAAGATTTTTTAGGCGTTCAATCTCATTCACTGGCGCAATTGAATTAGCACGCAACCGTGATAATACCATCGAAAAAACTTCCGGTGTGTATGAGCGCTGTAAACAATTTAAATTCTACATATTATGCTTTTACAGGAAACCTACTCTGAGCATAAATTTGTCATGGTAATTGTATGGGCCAATATCCCTGTAAGACACAAAGAGGCCAGTAACGCGCAACTCTGGATTTCTCTATGAACACATTCAGCTGGTAGAGTCTGTCAGAAGCTTGAAACAAACAAGGAAAATTAAAAGCATACGTTGATTTTTAAATGTAATAGATATGAAAATTACGTAAAATGTAATAGAGCAACAATGATATCTCATGCAAAACTGCATCAAAGAGCAAACGTTTCACGAAAGTGCTTTTTTTAAAAAAGTCTTAACTGCGAAAAACAGCAGAACATTAAAGATTAACTTTGAAGCTGTTAGGCACTGAGAAACGCTCGGCAACTTCTTCAAAGCTCTGTAGATCTTTGAGCAGATTATCCTAATAAATTCGTGTGGAACTGCCACTTCAAACGAGCTTTTCGTTAACGTGGTTTTTGCGAAAAAACAAAAAAAACCGCGATAATTTTTTTAATTTGAAATACTTTTTGGTCTTTCTAAAATCTTAAAAAATTCGCGATGGAAAATACAAATACTGGGAGTATTAAGACTGCTCGTAGACATCGCATGCTAGTGATGTTACTGAAATGCTCCCGCATGCCGAGTGCTTTATGCCGTGTCCCTCGATTCTGAGCTGCAAATTGCAAAAACGCATACTGGCAAGAGGCGGTCTGTGTGTGTGTGTGTGTGTGTTCGCACTTTTTGTCATCCACTTTCAACTCGAGAACCAAAAAAGCTAGAAGGCTGAAACTTCTCGAGTTTCAGCCCTCATGCAGCAAGCAAGGATGCAAGCAAAAAGTACTGGAAACCTATGGCTGAAAACTTTCCGGAAGTAACGAAATTTTGAACAATATCTCTCTCAACCAGTAAAAATTTGTGGGGCCTATAGGAAACAATAGGAACGAGAAAGTTGCCAATTGAAAAAGCCAGCAAAAAGGAAGATCATACTGCTCAAAAACTTGCAAGTACTAACCTCATCATTGGCAATGCATTCGGCAAATTTTTCAGATGATAAATTCAAATAAACAGTGACAATTTGCTGTAGCAAAGTTCGTGGCTCCCATGTAAATCGACGTACAGCATCACGCACTTTCAGTTCGGTACATTTTGGCCCGCATAGTTGGGAGACATTGTAATCAAGCATTGAGGCTAACCTTTCACCCAACAGCTGAAAAATTCATAAAAATCAAAGAGCAATCCTACTCCAGGCGATCAAATTTGCTGTCACTCTGCAGTAGCACTGAGGCAAGAAAATCTCAACGTATGCTGCTCGGCAAAGCAATCAAAAAGCTAGGGAAGAAATCCGGGTGCACGCTGGATTCAAGAACACCGAAAAAGCCTTCGAAAAGCAAAATTCAA